AGAGGTAAGAGGTGGGTGGCAAAAGAGCTTCTTGAGTAAGAGCCTGGGCTATGGATGGACAGACAACTTGATGCTGTACATCTCTGGGCAAGTTACTAAACCTATCTCAGCCTCAGCTTCCTCAGCTCAGAGATGAAGAAGACGATGGTGCTTCACAGACTCATTGTAAAGATTAAATGAGATAATGTGGGATGATACACATGAAGCTCACAGCACAGAACACAGCAAGAGCTGTCACTAAAATACTGTTAATGTTAATATCATTGTTATGCTCATTGACTCTAAGTGAGACTAAGTAAGAGAGGGGCACTGACTTCCCAAGCAACATAAAGGAAACCTGGGCCCGGAAGCAAGGTCTCCTTCCCTCTCTAGCTTTCATACTTTCCATATTGAATGTTCTTCCACGTGATGCCTGAACCACAAATAGAAGTTTGGGCAACTCCCAATTATCCCTAGTGTGAATAATTCACTCTGAGATAATCTGTGTGCCTGGCTGGCTTCCCAAATCAGCTGAGTGGATTATTCTCCTCTTTCAATTATTCAACAGTACAAGTAATTGGGAGCTGGCATTAGAATGTAAAGGCCGTGAGGTCATCTCCTGTTGTTCTCAGTTGCGAAGCCCTGCCAGTGGTGATGTTTGAGAGCAGTGCGGAGGCTGTAGAGCAGAGCCCAAAGCGGGAGGACAGAGCCGGTGACAGGCATGACAGTGAAGAATGAAGGCCCTCAGATGGCAACTGCGGGGAGGCGAAGCTGCCAACCACAGACGGGAGAGCCCGGGAGGAACGGTTTACAAAGGCTGTTTTCCCTCTCCCTGGGCTGCAGGGAGAGACCCCACTGCAGCTGAGTTCATGCTTTCCTGAGGAGCTCTTTGGATTTAGATTTTGATTCTGGAATGTTAGTATATCCTGGAGTCTTTTAAACTATGACCAGCCACCCCTGTTCTCTTCTGTTTGCTGCTCAATTTGATATCAAGGGTCGCATGAGGAGACCTGAGGAGCCTCTTCTTTCTGGAGAGTAGGGTCTCTGTATTGAAAATAGCATGTGTAGAAGTGTGATCCATTCATATAAAAAGTAAATGGGTAAAGATTTATATATAAATTTATATTGCACATATATTTTTAAATATGTGATATAAAAATCTGGGCTGGGCGTGATGGCTCCTGCCTGTAGTCCTGGAACTTTGGGAGGCTGAGGCAGGAGGATCACTTGAGCCCAGAGTTTGAGATCAGCCTGGGCAACATAGTGAGACTCAGCCTTTACAACAACAACAACAACAACAATTAGTCAAGGCTGGGCACGGTGGCTCACACTTGTAATCCCAGCACTCTGGGAGGCCAACGTGGGAAGATCACTTGAGCCCAGGAGTTCGAGATCAGCTTGGGTAACATAATGAGACCTCAACTCTATATTAAAAAAAAAAAAAAAAAAAAAACCTTAGGTGCAGTGGCATATGTCTGTGGTCCCAGCTACACGGGAGACTGAGACAGGAGGATCGTTTGAGCCTGGGAGCTCAAGGATGTAGCAAGCTGTGATCACACCACTATACTCCAGCTTGTGCGACAGAGTGAGACCCTGTCTCAAGAGAAAAAACACTCTGCTCTTACATCTGAGAGTCTGAGAAACAGGGAATTTTCCTTTCTATTTGTACCCTTCTATACTGCTTGATTTTTTTTTTACCATGAACTTACATAATTTATAATTATTTAAATTGCTTATTATAAAATAATAAAATTAAGACATAGAAGTTGCTGTTGGGTTTTCTGGCATGAGCCCTTTAAACTCTGTGTTTCAGCATTCATGATCACTATGTGGACCACCTTATTCTTATACAACCTTTAATTGTATAAGGATAATCTTTAATTGGCTTGGGCTTGGGGGTGGACTCAGTTTGCTCTGATCCCTGCAGCCAGGTGGCCAGGCAGGTGTCGCTTCCTACTGCACTGGAGGAATGCTGTGGCCAGCCTCAGCTTCATGCTGAACGAGCACTTCTCTACCCCGGGTTGCTGTCCTCCCTCCTGCTCTTACTGCCTCTCTGTTTAGCATGGCTAGAGCATTTAAGTACTCCACATGGGAGCTAAGCTTTGTCTTTCTACATTTCTGGGGACGGCCTCAGTGGACAGGTAATGGTGGCAGAAAGAACTTGGTAGCCAGATATTGGCTAGTACCACTGCTTTTGGTGAGCCCCAGGTTGTTGGCGAAGTCAACAGAATCACTTAAGAATGTGCAGAGCTCAGGAGCTGAAGCCTCATGATTCTCCTGCTGGGTCTGGCTCCCAAAGGTCTCCATAACCCCTATCCCCAGCTGGCCTTGGAACAATGAGGCCTCCTATGTCTCAGCTCCCCCCAGGGTCCTTACAGAGCTCATTCTGGGCTCTTGGAGGAAGGATGTCATCTGTGTGGCCTGAAGGAGACCTGAGTTTCTGGAGATCCTTGAGAAGGGAAGCTGCTTTGATAATTAGCCAGAGAGATGACTGAGCCTGTTGGTTGGAGCCCAGTGAGGGTGTTTGAAGAGTGTGCAGTGGGCCCTGGAGGTGAGGAGAGGCCAAGAACCTCTCTTCCTTCAAGCCAGGTTGTGGAGAAAGCCCCACTGTGAGCCCTTTGTGCTAGGCACTGAGCAAAGTGGCAGCTTTTGTGGCGCTGGGGATGTGGGAAGTTTTCTACTTTTGCAGCTAATATCCCCAGTTTCCCTCCCCAGGATGTAGGGCTGTCTTGGAATAGAGAGCTTTCCTGTGAAACCATTGACGTGAATGGGGAGCAACTCTGGACTGAGCCTCATCCCCAACGACCCCCTGTCAAAGTTGCTAAGGTTTCCAGGTTTGGGGGAGTTAATCTCTATGGTCTCTGCTCTGAGAAGAGGATTCAAGCTGGTGAGAAAACCCTGCAGAATTGGCTGCTGGGTCGAAAAGGTCCTGTGCTTGGTCTCGGGGGCAGGTCTGCAAGGATGGGCTGCTTTTAAAAGTACAAGTAGAAGGGCCTTTGAAGCATTTCAAGTCGATAGGGTCAAATGGAATCTCTGCAAGCAAATCTCCAACCAGACTGTTAATAGACTTGGCCACCTCCCAGTCCAGCTCCAAACAGTCAATTCTCATCTAGTACCTTGGCCTGGAGTGGTATAAAACAATGTGGTGGGCTGTGAAAGCTCTTCATTTATGTTGTTTTTGGTCTCTCAACACATTCTGTTCTCCTCTTTGGAAAATAATACTTCCTTTCCTTTGGGAATCTCTTCACCAGTGCCACATGGTCTGATGAGGCTGTTAATCTTTATGCCCCACCTGTTCCCTTCCCAGTTAGGGCTGGTCATATGACCTAGACTTGCCATTCAGTATGGCTTCCATCTGTACAATGATTGGTCCAGGGGTGGGCATGTGACACAGGTAGGACCAATCAAAGTTCTTCCTTGGAATTCTATACCATTTGGGAGGCTGTAGCTCTCTTTTTGCTGGGATGGGCATGTTTACGAGGAGCAAAGTGGAGAGAAGCAAAACCTAGAGGTGCAGGCTGAGAGAGGGCCTTGGCACATTGCTTGAGCCTCTGGACCCAGCTGTGCTTTTCATCATGGGACCCACCACACTCTTTTTTTTCCTTAGATGAGTTTGAATTTCATTTTGGTCCCTTAAAAACAGAATCCTAATACAAAACAACTTCCAACTGATCTGTCTCTTTCAAATAGCTAATGTCATGTCCCTGGAAGCTACTTCCCTGGTGAAATCCTGTACCTAACACTTTGCTTTGCACACATTGGGTGCTTGCCTTGTATTCTTGTGTGGTAACTGTACCCTCACCATTGCCACCAACTTTTGGGAGGATAGTGGAGGCCTGAACCTGGGTCTCCCAGCCTGCCTTTGTTGGTGGCAGTGAATCCTGTTATCTGTGCATACATTTTCATCTCCCTTCCTCTCTGCCTCTGCTTCTGCAAAATAAATACAATCTGTCAGTCTTGCTTTGCAGGGGCCTTGCCAAACATGCCAGTGGTGGGGCGTTTATCTGTCTACCTCAGGCTGCTGTCTTCCAGATGTAGAGAAGAGGCCGACTCCCATGACACAGTACTGCTGCAGCCGTGGGTGTGATTATCTCCCTCTGAGATCAGGCTGTTTCCTGGTGCCCAGTGTGAGCTGGTGCTAAATTTATTGTGCCTGAAACATCAGGGCAGTGTTAGAGGTTCCTTGCCTGCTGCTTCTTTCCCAGGCTACTTGTGCCAGCTGCAAGGCCCTTGTGAGGCTGTTAGGTGTCATTCTGTGGCAGATTCATTGTTCCATATTTTTATTTAATTACTTACTTTTACAGCTCTTAGAATAAATCTAATTATCCATCTGTTATGCTACATTATGCCACTGCGGTTCATGCAATTCTTTCTCATTGTATATGATATTTGTCAGCTTGACCTTGCCCCCTTCCAATGTTGTTGCTCCCCTGCGTGGCTCTGTGCCACCTCCTCAGTGGATCCTTGGCACCAGCCAGTCTATCAGGGACCTTGGGCAGAGCTGACTGTGAGTGGCTCTCAGATGAAACAGGGGTTGGTGGAGCGTAAAGTATTGCAGGAGGAGAATGGCCAAATGGCCATCTCTGATGCCATGCTGACCTGACATAGGCATGGAAAGTTGGGCTGGTCCTGTGTTAGAGTGCCAGAAAAGAAAGCAGGGATTCTAGCCTCCCATTTCCAGTCTACAGTGAGAGGGCTGTTGTCAAGGAAGACAGCCAGGTGAGGTCAGGCTGAACAGTGGCCACCTGTGGACATATCTGTGGACTGTCCTGCCACGGCTGGCAGGCGGTACCTAATCCAAGGATTGAGTCGGGGTTGATGTTAGGCACAGCAGAGGTGGGCGTTACCTACTAGAGGTGATTTCAGGAATTATGTGAAACTCCTTTGTCCCCAAATCTTTTTTCATTCTGCTACTGCCTAAATTCTATTAATACCATTAGAAATTTGTTTCTTAGTTATACATACACACACACACACACACACACACACACACACACACACACACACACACACACATATATATGTATATATATATATATGAACTCCTGTTTGCAAGCAATTACAGACTTACAGACGTTCCCAGGAGGGGGGACCCCAAGGGGACATTGACCATCTGGGCTATATCCCTTTTCTCAAGCAGGCAGGGGATATGCAGTGAGGAGGACACATGGCCAAGGAATCAAAGTGCAGGGAGGTGGGGAGAGAAGTCAAAACCCAGGGCAGTGGCGGAGTCTGACTCCATGAGCTCTTGGAGTGGGCAAGGTGCTCATAAAGGGAGGTCATATGCCCAACCCATCCATGTGCCTAGTGCTGGGGCTCGGTGTCTCAGCCAGGAGGGGGCACAGAGCCAGCCTCGTGTCTGCAGGCAGCTCCTGTTAATTGCATGCTGGGCATTGGGCTTCACCATCTAGAGTGAGGTCCCAGTTGAGCAGGCAACAAGGCACAGTCCAGGTCCTTGAATGAGTTCACGGTTTAGGAAGGGAAGCCAATCTTGTCAGGTCTGTTAAGAGGACAGAAAGAAGGAGGACCCCAGGAATGCATAGCAGGGGCGGCCCCGTGAGGGTCAGGAGGTCAGCGAGTGTTTCTCTGAGGAGATGGTGTCTGGCGGGGTCTTGGAGTAGGAATTGCCCAGACGAAGATGGAGACGGGCAGGGTGCTCAGGCGGAGGCGGTGGGGAGCACAGCACACTGAGAGATTCTTCTCAGTGGATTGAGATGAGTTGAGAAATTCATCGGGGCAAGGGAGGTCCTCCCTCCTCATCACTTTGGTCCTGAAATAGGGTCATTTTCAGCAGATCTCCTGAATGGACACACTGAGCCTGCTACTGTCACTGCTTCTAAAGCAAATTCCCCAGGGGCCAGGGGAGGACCTGTGTGGCACAGGCTTTCTGTGGTGGAGGCACTGTGGTCAGAGGCTGTGCTCTACTGCCTCATCCCTGTAAGGTACCCGCAGCCCAGGGCAGGGCATGTTATGCTGACTCCTCCTCCTCATTCCCCTGTCCCGCCTCCAGCCCAAGACCACATTAAAGGACTTCCTACTTGGATGCGGGCCCAGGTTGGAGCTCATTATAGCCCAGTGGCCAGGCCCTCCATTTTCCCTTCCAGGTTAAGACTTGGCAGGCATCAAAGGTTGCAGGAACACCCCACAGGCCTTTTCCCTTAATCGTCTCACTCCTGCCCTGTCTGCGTGGCCTCCTTAGCTGAGCTTTTCCCACCAGAGCCTCTGGTGACTTTCCACAAGTTTCCCTTCATTCCAGCAAGCAGATTCAGTGACTAATTGCTGGTAATTTTTTTCCTCAAGACTCTATTTATATAGGCTGTCGTGTTGGGGGCGGGGGAAAGCGGGCTGTAGTCCTGGGAGGACGGCTGCTGTTCCCTGCAACTGCCATCATTAGACTGAGGCCTGTGTGGCATTGATGTCCACACTTTGTCTTTATTCTTGTATTTTTTTGTCATTGCGACATTTGGTTCTTTGAACATCTAACGTCTCTTTTATGCTTCTCATCTCCCACAGAAGATTGTTGTATTTTGTCCCCCACTGAAGCTGCATTTTCTTTTTGTCAGATTTCTCACTTTCTTCTTTATTGTATTTTGATCAGTGCAGCCATGTAGGTCTGGGTTTTATGGGAGCTTTTCATCTTTGGGCCAGTGGCCCTCACGGCCTGGGTCTTTTGGCCAATGCTGGGCCTTGCCTCAGGCCCCTGAAGCAGGACTTTCCCACCAGGGTGACAGAGACCCAGCTTGTTATCTGTCCAGGGATACTGTAGTCTAGTGGTTGTCAAAATTAAGCATGCCTCAGAAGCACCTGGAAGCCTTGTTAAAACGCAGATGGCCAGGCCCCCCTCTAATGGTTCTGATTGAGTGAGTCTGGGGTGAGGCCTGAGAATTTGCATTTCTAACTAGCTCCCAGATACTGCTGATGCTGCTGGCCCAGAGATCAGACTTGGAAAACCACTGCTTTAGAGTAATTCCTCCTTGACCTTCAGCCAGAGTTTCCGGGGCCCAAGCAAGGAAAAAACAGCAGGGCACCAGGTTCCTCCTTCTCCGTGCTGGGGCCAGCTCTCTAAAACTCCATGGTGTGGGATGTTGGCAGGGCATCATAATAGTAAACACCTGTACAGCGATTTTACCTGCCCTCCTTCATTCAATACTCAACAGCAGGTCCCTTGGTGAAGTGGCACAGCTTCTTGACAGATAATAGAAGTAAAGTTGAGATAAGTTAAAGCCTCCCTCCTGGCCATTTGGCTAGTAATTTGCGGTGTGTCCCTAGTGGAATCCAGTTTTTTTAGCGCCTATTCTAGAGCTTGCATGACTCTGCTACTGATTAGCTTTGTGACCTTGGGAAAAATTACTTAGCTTTCTGTGACTCAGTTTGTTGATGAGCAAATTGGGAGTAATGGTGTCTGCCTCCTGGAGCTGTCATGATGATGACATGAGTTAATGCTTGGAAAGCACTTGACAGCTGTTTAATGGTGGCCCACCAGAATCCCCTCCTCTCCTGGCAATGAGGGGCTGTGCAGTTTTTTGTTTTGTTTGTTTTTGGCATTTCTGTCACAAGAAGCCCAGGAAGATGTACCACTGCCCAGTAGACAGCATTACCCAGCCATCAGGACAGGGCTCGGTCACTTTGGAAAGTCGCTTCCTGCCCTGAGGGAAATGGCTCGAGGAAGGCAGGTGGGTGGCATTTGCCTCCAGGGGTTGAGAATGGAGCAGTAGCTGAGAGGCTGGGTCAGTGCGCGAAGCCTCAGACCAGCAGGAGGGGCACCAGGAGAGCCAGGCGGCTGGGTCGTCCACTCCTTAGGAGCTGCTGTGGTCCCTATCCTTTCACTGCCCAGCCCTGGGTGGTGGTCCTTGGAAGATTAGTTTGGAGGGAAGCTAAGTTAAGTCTGCCATTTTAGTGGTTTATTCTTTCTGCCTTGCCCACACCTTCTGACTCAGGACATTTACAGCAGTAATGGGGGTTTGAGTAGAAGGTTAGTCTTGATCATGCTAACGATATTGAACCTGTTGAAAATTACATATCAGGTACTGTTACGTTTGGTATCTCATTTAATCCTCACAACAGCCTCATGAAGTAACCTTCATTTTACAGATGAGGAAGCTGGGTCTCAGATAGGTTAATTGACCTGTCTCAAGTTTGTATAGAAAGAAGTCCAGGATTCAAAGTCAAATCTGTGCGGCTCCAGAGCCCTTGGTCTTTGCTATGCTGCTGTAACGGTTCCCTCTGGAGAACTGTTATCCCCCTCCATGGGTGTCTTGCTTTGGCCTGTTCCCTGGATCCCCTGCCTCTCAGCTCAAGGTCCAGGTTCCCGGACCATGAAAGTGCTTTGTTCACCTTTGTGTCTTCCGTAGAACTTAACACAAAGCCTTATACAGAGTGACCATATGTTCTGTTTATGCCTCTTGTCCCAGTGCAGTAATTAATTGTGCCCCTTTCACTCTTAGAAGTGTCCCAGTTTGAACAATAAATTGTGTGGTCACCCTACTTATGCACGGCCCTCCCAACCCAGGGACAATGGCATGTTAATAGAGGACCCTGAAAGAATTGTCTTTAAGGCTCAAGTAAATCCCAGATGGTGAAATTTTCAGGGTTTACATCACAGTAGGCAAGAGAATTTAGACAAAGATTCTGCTCAGCACCCCACAAACCTACCACAAAGGACTATTTCTAACACCTGACTTGAGGCTTATGGGGATCATCAGGCCTGTGATGAGATTTGTAGAGGCAGGAGGACAAGCAAGGCAGGAAAAGGGCAGGGAGAGCAAAAAGCTGTAGCTTCCCCACCTTCCCAGGTGGGAAGGAGCCCCTACCTAGCATTTGATTGTTCCCAAGCCCCTAGCCTCCCTTCAGGAAAGAGCTAATGGGGATTGGCCCTCTTCCCAGTGTCACCCTCAGCCCTTGGGCCCTGGGCTCAGCTTCCCCACACTTTCTTGTTGGGGCCGCATTCCCTCAGGCCCTGCCCTTGTACCCTGGACATCGGTCCATACTCAGCCATGGTGTGTGCCAGTCACATTCCAGGCTGTGTCCTTGCACCATTTGCAGGCAGCTGAAAACTGCTGTGCATATGTCAGTTCACACTTGAACTGGTTTAATGTTTTTTTCTTTTAAGTTGCAATCTAAAATTCAGCCAGACAGGCTTTAACGAGCACTAAATCGTCAAGCCTTTTGTTTCCCTTGCTATTCAAGCCATAGAGATTTTGTGTTTGATTCAGCAACAATTGCTGAATCTTAAACAAACCATTTACATTTTGACATTAACTATTTTATGAGTGTAACTTTTTCTTTGGCATTAGAATGATTCCAGCAGAAGGCCTTTTAATGATTTATCAGAAACAGAGTTAAAAGGCTCTGTGGAAGGTGATTCTTAACATTTTCTTTTGGGGAAAAAAAGTAGGTTTTTATCTGCCTTCAGTTGGGCAGTACATACAGAATTTTAGCCTCTCTCCTCTATTTTAATAACTTTTGATCTTGTCAAGGTCATTCCTCCAGCATGCCCTCCCACTCAGCACCTCCATTTTTCAGACAACCTTCATGCCCAGTAGCTTCTCTCAGAGTAGTTCTTTGCACATCTCTTTCGGCTGTTAATTTTATCTGATAGAAGCAGGAACTATGTTCGTTCTTTGCTCTAGCCCTGGTATTCTTAGCTGAGGCCCCTGTGCACACTAGGCATGATCAGTATTTGTCAACCAGCTGACTGGACAAAGAGCCTCAGACAAACAGCATGTTCGCAAACGAAGCCATTCATCGTCTGTCCCTGGAAGCTGTAAGTAATTGGAACTTTTCCTCAGTTCTTAAAGATTTCCACAGAATGAGAAGTCTCCACTTTCCTTTAGGTTCTCATTCCAGCCTCTGGTGAGTCAGGTCAAAGGGCCTTGAGCAAGATCAGGCCTCCCAGTGTTGTTCCTGCATCAGGGGAGGCTCTGTATCTTTCTCAGCCTCCAGTGAGACCTGGTGAACCCTGCATCTGGCTGGGGAGTCAGCCGATCCACCCAGTTTTCTTCTCTGTTACAATGTGAGCCAGGTGGCCAGGTGCAGGAAACTCATGCTAGCGGGGGCCTGAGACTCCATGTGAAATGGAGCTGGCTGAGGAGGCCATGTTGATCTGCCCCCACGGAAAACCGGGAGCCTGGGTGCTGCACTTGCCTCTTAGGACTAGAACTAATTGTTCTTAAAGATCTTTCCAAATACCAATGATGCAAAATATTTGGATGGTTCACCATATTGTTCACCATATTTAAACTGTCAGAACCTTAAATATCTGAGCAAAACCTCAGCAAACAAAGGATATTTTGGGGACTTGTTATGTATGTTGCACAGCAGAGAGATTTGTAGTCTATACGACTTCCAAATGCTGTAAACGAAGTATTTCAGTGTTGTCATTTTCAGCTATAGACCGTCCTACGATCATTGCCTTTTCTTTCGCTATTAAGAGATGGCTCATTCATAAACATTTCTACAGTTGTGTGGCAAACACAAAATAGGCCCTGCGTGATTCCATTGGCTCTGACTGAGGAGATGATTTTTCACACAGTGAGATTTATCACGTTTATCAAATTTATGACAGAACACAGAGAGGATGAGGGGATGTGGAGGTTGGAGGGAGAGCAGATCTGAGTGAGTGAGGAAGGAAGCGCTTTCCCGAGCCTCAAAGGGCCTGTTGACAAGGTGTGTTGCCTATAAGCTTGGAGTCAGGATAGTCTGGGCCATTTCCTCGGATCCCTTCTTGCCCTGTGGGGTCTGGCCTCCTCCACTCTCACCCAGCCACCAGACCTGTAGGGATAGTTATACCACCAGCTGTTATAGAAGACCTAAAATAACATCCTCTGTGTTCTCTAATAAAGTTGATAAATCTCAGCTTGTGAAAAAAATCTCCCATATGTTTTGTCTAAATTTTCTTCTGCTTAACCTTGTTACTCCTGCCTTGCCTCCCTCAGACTGCCTGAGACAATTACTCAGGGACATTGTTTGAATAATTAGAGGCTGCAGATAATTCTCTTTAGCCTGCTTTCTTCCCTGTTCCCTACCCTGTGGTCTCCCTTTAGCCAGTTCTAATTAGCTACTTTGATCCTTCCTCCCAATCTCTCCCTCTAGCTTGTTAATTACATTTCTCCCCCATGAATTCCTTCTATACTGGCTTTGTCTATCCAGTCGGAGGAGCTGAAAATGAGAATCTAAGGCCACTCAGTGGGAGGTCTTCTTTGTCCCTCAACACAGATAGCTCCTCTTCCTTCTGAGAAGGAGGCATTCTGTCTTAGCAGAAAAGTAAAAATAATAATTTCTGTCAAGTGGTATATTATGATAAAAACAGCTGTTATCCTAATGCTTGGCATTTGCCAGGAAGAGTGTGTGTGTGTGTGTGTGTGTGTGTGTGTGTATGTGTGTGTTTACATATATAAAATCACATTTCATCCCCACAACAATCCTATGAGATAAATATTATTGTTATACATCCCTGTTTTACAAAATCAGAAACTGAGGTCCAGAGAGGCTTAGTAACTTAGTCACACAGCTGAGAACACTGGAATCTCGAACTTGCACCTAGGTCTCTCTGACTCCAGAGTAGCACTTAGTTTTCTGCTTTCTCGGTTTGGGCTTTTGGTGGGAAAAAAAAAAAAAAAGTCCAGGTCATTGGCTTTTAAGCCCACCAAAAAACCGGCCAACCAACTCTGAGGTGATTGTCAGCTTTTTACCCTCAGTGTAGAAGAGGCTTTCTGAATTGAAATTATAAAACTGGCACAGAAGCAAACTGACATAGTGTACGGGATATCTGGGCAGTTGGAAATCTGCTTCTAGAAAATAAAAAGGAACCAATAAATTCTTTACTTGCTTTAATTCTTAATTTTCTTTTCTGACCGGTTTCTCTCTCAGGAGGTTAAGGAAGCAATAAGAAGGGCCTCACTGAAATTATATTCTGAGCAACAAGAAGGATTTGTCTGGTAAAAAAAAAAAAAAGTTTTGGAAACCTCAGCAGAAAGTGACTGTGTTTGGAGAAGCCAAGGGGAAGGTAAAACTCTCTGCCTCTGAGTTTTAGGGAAAATAAATTTCAGAAGGTCCAGGAAAAAGTAGATACGATATCTGAACAAGAGCTTCGAAAGGAAGGATGACTCAGAGTTTAAAAAATGAAGTGTTCTTAATAGAGTCACGAGTGATTGTTGCAGGGAACAGGGAGCCACCTAAGGAGACCCACATGGCTGCAGGGGGCACAGTTCGAGTGGAGATTTTGTCTAGAGATTAAATAAGGGACCTGTAACCAAGAACAAATAGAGAAGGATGCAGCCATTGAGAACACTGTCAGGAGCACAAGACGGATGAGACCTGAGAACACTAAGAACAACAAAGGCGCCTGCGCAGTTACTGTTCCAAGTGAGAGGAATGGCAAGGAAGGCTTTAGGTCACCTAGTTCAGTCGGGTGATTTAGCAGATGCCAGAGAGAGTATCTCTGTCCTTGCTGCTCATTCTGTTTGCTTCTGCCTTCTCTTTTAAAGAGAATGGCCCTCCTGCAGAAAGTAAAACATAGGGTTAAGTGGAACTTGAGACAAGGAATGTGCAAAAAGTGTAAATGAGCCACGGTCTTCTCCAAATTAAACAGGGTCTGAAAAATTAAATGTCAGACAGAAACTTAGGGACACCATCATCAAACTGTGTGCAGGAATCTTTATCACATCACGGGGATTGGGAGAGGGGCAAGTAGACACAATGGGCAACTGTTCTGGTTTTCAAAATAACAGAGCAAGTTTTTGAGATGTGACTTATGAGTGTTTTTAAAGAAAAGAGGTCATCTCTTAGAGTTAGTTTGGGTTCCATAAAACCAGGTCTTGATGGACTAGTTTAATGCTGAAGTCCTCCCTCCCACCTCCCTCCATACAGAAAAGCTCAGCACATTTCACTTGATGAATTAGTTAAAGTGGACACACCCATGTAACCATGACCCAGATCAAGAAATGTAATATTATCAGTACCCCAGAAGACTCTCTCAAGTTCCCTCCCAATTCCATTTTTCTTTTTCAGATTTGCTAGGCTGGTAGATTAGGCCGGTACAATAGACACAGAGGAAGACCTGTATTTCAGGAAATCATTTGACAGAATCTCATGATAATCTAATAGATCAGATAGAGAAATGATGATAAAGGTGTAGATTTGAGGCTGGGTGCTGTAGCTAATACCTGTAATCCCGGTACTTTGGGAGGCCGAGGCAGGCAGACCACTTGAGGCCAGGAGTTCGAGACCAGCCTGGCCAACATGGCAAAACTGTCTCTACTAAAAATACAAAAAAAAAAAAAAAAAAAATGGCTAGGTGTAGTGGTGAGCATGGTGGTATGTGCCTGTAGTCCCTGCATGGTAGGCTGAGGCATGAGAATTGCTTGAACCTGGGAGGCAGAGGTTGCAGTGAGCTGAGATTTCACCACTGCACTCCAGCCTCAGTGAGGTGAGATTCTGAATAATAATAATAATAAAATGATGTAGATTTGTAGCAGCTTGAACAATCAGACTTAATCAGTGTTTATTTAGAAATGATTTAGTGTCACCAGAGCCTTCACTATAGTGATGTGCCAAAGAGCTCGTGGCAGACTCTGTCCTGTGTAACCTGCATTCTGGTTCTCATGTGAAGATGTGGGAACAGATGGCACTAATCGGGAAGGGATAACCATGTGAGATACGTGACAGTGAGGATCCAAAAGAATAGTGACAGGCTAGGAGGAAGGGTCTAGGTAGCCAAGTGGCATTTTAAATTTTATTGTTATTAAACTTCTAATTTATAAGTGATTCAGATTCCTTGTTTGAAACAAAAATCTCACCACCCAGAAATAAATATATGGTGTTATATCACCCCATACTATTTGTAATTTGCTTTTTGCCTCCTGACCATATTTATCGTTAGTAAGAATAAAATCGAAGCCCTGTGTTTGGGTTCAGAGCCATGTTGGGGATCCCTGACTCATCAGAAGATTATGTGAGCAGCCTCTAGGAATTTGACTGAGGCAGGCCACTATAAGCTCTGTGAGGCTACTTCCTAAAGCCTAGAGCTGGCCTGAGGCATTAGGGCAGAGTGGCCCTGGGACAAAGGCAGCCAGGCCCACTGGACTCTGAGTGGGGAGCTGGCCAGGCTGGAGCCCTGCAGATAGGTTTGGGCACCACCTCTATAGGGATTTGTAAGTGGAACAGGACCCCATAGAGTTTAGAGGGTTTCAAGAGTCACACTAAGAATGACTGCAGAATCCTGTGAGGCCATGTTGTGAGGGGAGCATTCTTTGCATGGTTGGCTGCTCCTAACTTTCAGAAGGGCTGACCTGTCAGGACAGGATCAGGCAACCCTTTCTTTCTGCGAGAGTAGACTTAGGACCAGAGGGTATAAGCTTCATGATGGCAGATTTCAGCTCAGTGTCAGAATATACTTTTCTGTCAATTGGAGGAGTTTTAAACTAGCAGAAAGCCCCCTTGTTTGATGACGTAGTTTTCAAGTACTGGGCCACCAATTACCAGAGATGTTGTACTGGATAAAAGGTTGGGTATTGGCTCTTGTTATCCCAAATGCTGGTCCTAAGAACATAGGAATCACATGTGGCATTTATGAAAAATCAGGTCTTTGGAGCCACATTCTCTGAGATTATGATTTAGTATATGCAGGATAGGGCTTGGAATCTATATTTTCAAAAAGGGCTCCAGTTGTTCATTGGAGAAATGGCTGATTTCATGGCTGGCACAGGAAAAGAGCAATATCTTATACAAGAACATCTTGTGCCAGAAGGTAAGAAAATACTCTCAAAGAGTGATGGAAACATTTTAAAAAGACACAGAAGCCAGCATGAAAAGGCCTGGTGATTAAGGATAATTTGAGCATTGAAGTAAATGATAGAAATGGATTCTATTCCATAGATTAAATAAGAATTTGTGAATCAATACTGATATCAATAATTGAATGAATGAAGAAATGGGTAAGAAGGAAAATCTCTTTTTCCAGGTAGAGTGCCAGCAAATAAAGTTAGAAGCAAGAAAAATAAAGATAGGAGTTTGAAGGATAAAATAGGAGTTTGAGTATCGTTTGACAAACATCATGGTACAGGTTGAGCATCCCTTATCTGAGATGCTTGAGACTAGAAGTGTTTTGGATTTTGGATTTTTTTTTCTTTTTGGTCTTTGGCATATTTGCATTATATACTTACCACTTCAGCATCGCTGATCCAAAAATCCAAAATCCAAAATGTTCCAGTGAACATTTCCGTTGAGCATCATGTTGATGCCTAAAAATTTCAGATTTTAGAGCATTTTGGATTTTAGGTTTTTGGACTTAAGATACTTAACCAGGGATAATTAAGCAAGAATTGTCAATGATTGCCAAAACTGCTACATGAAAGTTTGATGAGGAATAGGCTGTCTTTATATCTCAAAGTGTCTCCCCACAAAATACTAATTTCAGAGGAACAACTAGTTTGTTGTTTTTTGGTTTTTTTTTTTTTTTTTTTTGAGACAGAGTTTCACTCTTGTTACCCAGGCTGGAGTGCAATGGCGCGATCTCGGCTCACCGCAACCTCCGCCTCCTGGGTTCAGGCAATTCTCCTGCCTCAGCCTCCTGAGTAGCTGGGATTACAGGCACGCGCCACCATGCCCAGCTAATTTTTTGTAGTTTTAGTAGAGACGGGGTTTCACCATGTTGACCAGGATGGTCTTGATCTCTTGACCTTGTGATCCACCCGCCTCGGCCTCCCAAAGTGCTGAGATTACAGGCTTGAGCCACCGCGCCCGGCGAACAACTAGTATTTTTATAGTAGAGAAAGCTGGCAGATACCACCATAACCAAGTAATCAAAGCAAACGTCCAATTGTGGTACTTATGGTCATCACTTGCCCTCCTATACAATACACTGAGAAAGATACAACACTGTGTATTCCTGCCAAAGCCATAGCCTCGGTCTAACCATGAGAACATATCAGACAAATCCAAACTGAGAAACATTCTACATAAATGTCCATGTCATGAAAGACAAAGACTGAGGAAGCATTCCAGATGAAAGGAGACCAAGAATACATGCTGCTGTGCACATCCTGTGGGCGTAAATTGGACGTGGGATCAAAATTATTTTTCTAAAAAGAATATTATTGAGAGCACTCTGTGCAGTGACTCACTCCTGTAATCCCAATACTTTAGGCGGCTGGGGCAGGAGGACTGCTTGAAGCCAGAAGTTCAAGACCAGCTTGAAAAGGCCTGGTGACTAAGAATAATTTGAGCATTGAAGTAAATGATAGAAATGGATTCTATTCCATAGATTAAATAAGGGCAATATCATGAGAACCCCTATCTAAAAAAAAAAAAAAAGCTTTTTAAAAAGATGGGGCGGGGGGAAGAAGTATTACTAGGACAGTTGGCAAAAATCTGAATAAATACCTGTAGATTATTGTGTTAGTGTTGGTTTCCTGATTTTGATAATTGTACTTTGGTTATGTTCTTAGGAAATACACACTGATACGTTTAGGGGTAAAGGGCCTTCATATCTGCAGTTACTCTCAAATATTTTAGAAAATCTGTGTAAATATTAATAGAGACAAAATGAAAAAGCAGATGTGGTAAATGTTCACAATTGGTGAATCTGGATGGAAGTTCACTTACTATTCTTGCAGCTTTTCCGTAAGTTATTTTTTTGTATGTAATTATTTTTCTATAATTTTATTTTTCTTTAGAGAGACAGAATCTCACTCTGTCGCCCAGGCTGCAAGTGATCCTCCTACCTCAGCCTCCTGAATAGGTGGGACCATAGGCACATATCACCATGCCCAGCTATTTTTTTTTTTTTTTTAATTTTTGTAGAGACGGGGATTTTACCACCTTGTCCAGGCTAGCTTCAAACTCCTAGACTCAAGCAGTCCTCTCACCTTAGCCTGTCAAAGTGCTAGGATTACAGGCATGAGCCACCATACCAGCCTATTTTCTGTAATTTTTTTTTTTTTTTTTTTTTTTTTTTTTTTTTTTTTTTT